GGAGCCCCATAGACGCTGTTTCCAAATCTGGAAATTGGAAATTCAGATTACAAGAAGCATCTTTTTACTAGTCAAAGGAGGCTGCTCATCCTAGTACAACAGAAGAACACCAGCTAGGAAAAAGGCACCCTCTCACTGCCTGCCCACGTGTCCCTGACTAATTAGACAGAATCCCCTGGCTTCTGCCCCAGGACACTGATTAACATTCCTTCTCCTCACTGGGAGATCCCGGGACAGGGGCCTGCCAGTCAGGGAGCCTCCTGCTCGCACCCCTTTACCCCTGCTGGAAACAGAAGGAGATGCCCAAGGAGCTGGTGCTGCTCTGGGGCATGTGCTCAGACACCCAATGTGGCTTCCTTGTGGGCTGAGGGAAGTAGCATCTGTTGGCTCAGAACAACCTCCTTACTGTCCTGATACACCCAGAGCTCTGCAAAGGCTCCCACTGGGCAGTCTGTCTGTACATCTTGCCTTTGCCCATTCTGGCTTTCCTGGAGGCCCAGATCTGTTCACAGGGTTTCCACAGATTGGCCTAAAGAGGTGGTTTGTAATTTCTGCTGCACCAGAATCACATGGGAAACTGGACTCCACATCAGAATAACTGAACCAGAACCTCTGGAGGAGGAACTTAAGGATCTGGGCCTTTCAAAAGCTCCTGGAGTGATTCTGAGGCCAGTGAGGGTGAGGAACCTTAGTACTGGACATCTGTCCACAGGTTGCTGGGCCCTTCTGCAGGAGAGGAGCTGCTACTTAGAAAACTGCTCCCACCCAGACTCTTGTGCACATGCGTGCGCACACACTGAGAGCCTAGGAGAGGTATAATTGAGTCACTGGGCTTCCAGAGCCATAACTACCACCTGTACATATCTCTACTGTTCTCCAAGCCTGCTTCAGAAATATGAGGCTTTCATCTCTCAACTACCTGAGAAATAGGGATTATTATTCTCATTTTACAGATGGGAACTTGAGGTCCACTATAGGCAGTACAGTAACCCCTATAAAGGAATCTGGTGGTTCAGAAAACTGACATAAGCCTTTTGAAAATCATTTTTCTATAAAAAGCCTTTGATTGAGTAACTCCACATATGAGGATCTATCCCAAGGAAAAACTTACAAACCCAAATGCAAAACTCCTATGACCAAAAATGTTTACAACAGAATTATTTATATTGAATTTTTTTAAAACTTAAAAACTTCCAAAAATAAGAAAAATCTTAAGTGAAACATGACATCTCCTCTCAATTGAATATTATGTAGTCGGCAAAAATGTATGCTCAGACTATGTACCAACATAGAATATAGATCATAATATTTAATGAAAAAACAGGATTTCAAGTTTTATAAACAGTATTGCTTGTAACTACATAAAAATCACTCATTTTTTAAAAGAAAAATAGTAGAAAATATTCTCTAGGTTGGTCTTCCTGAAGTAGTTTCATGAATTATATTTTTATTCTTTTTGTTTATCTGAATTATATTTTATTGAGTTAGTTTTAATTTAGTTTAAGTTTAAATTTAATTAAGATTAGATAAACTAACTTTATTAAGTAAATATTATGGTAGATTCTCCCCCAAAGGTGTCCACTTTCCTAATTCCCAGTGCCTAAAAACTGTACATAGCAAAAAGGACTGAGGAGAGAACCCTGGATTATCCAAGTGGGACCAGAGAGAGGCAGAGGAGATGAGTGACCAGAGCAGAGATCAGAGTGTCGTATCCATTAGTCAAGGATCCGAGGCTGTCTCAGAAAGCTATAGTCTCCTGCAGAACACAGCCTTTGGTTTTCACCACAGAAGACCTATTTCAGACTTCTAGCCAAGGTGGTTTTGGTAATTTGTTATAGCAGCTGTTAGAAACTAATACCAGATACAAAAGGTAAAACTCAAGGTGACTGGAGTTGTTGAAACCAAATCCTCTTCTCCTTCCACCCTAGCACTCCAGCAGGAGCCCAAAGCCCAGACTGTAGGGGGGAAGGGAACAGCTCCTTTAGGGATGCACCCTCCTGGGGCTATGGACTGAATATAGCTGTCAGTTCCAGCTATAAGTCTCCACCTCTTCCTCTTTAGCCTCCTTCTTAGGGATACCAAGGGGTTGTCCCAAAACAAACAAACAAAAAGATGATTTTCCTTTAGGATACTCTGCTCCCAGGCCAACAACATTTTTATCAAATCACTGATACCAACAAGGTCTGAAATTCTAAAACAGATGAAAGATGACGATAGATAGCTAAAATAGTACATTTTACCATTTTTAAGCCGTCTACAAGTGTAGAAAGGGTTAAATCTTTTTTGTTGTTTTGTTGTTTTTTTAAGAAATATTATTCATCAAAGTGTAGCATTGTAGGGTGGCAAACTTTAGTTGTGTGCCTATTACTAGTTATATATTTGGATGTGCTACCATATTTCAGAAGGATTTAATATGCTAAAACTGCAAATGCCTTTCTGAGCAGGGCTGTGCGGTGGACTCTGAGGTGAGAGCTATATGCACAGACTTTGGGCTCCAGTTCTCAGCTCTGTGGCTGACTTGGGTGTGATCTCAGTTGACTCAGTTCCCTCCAGGTGGCTAGAGTGGGAGACAGTTCAGAGAGAGCTTGAGTCAGACACTGCATACAATAAAAACAACTCGGGTTAAGTTAAGCATAAGGAAATTCGTTGTAAAGCTACTGGAGGGCCAAAGGATGAGAAAATTGAAACGCTAAGCTCAGGACCTTGTAGAACCCAAAGTACTCAAACTACAGGAAGCTAAGTAACATACTAATAGCCCAACTAGCCCTATGGGCAGGAGGCTGCTATTGCTCCTAACAATCTATATCAGCCTTGCAACATTTGGTCCAGACTCAAAAAAATCATTGGCTGAGTCAAGGTCAGGGCCCACCCCTTAGCTATACCCAGGCATCCAGTGAGAGGAGATGGACTTTTTCTGGCTTTGGATTTTTCGAAAGGAGAGAATAATAAGAGACCACATGCAGACCATGATTCCTTTATCTTGTGGTTCTCCTGGCCGGCAGCATCAGCACCATCTGAGGACTTAGAAATGCTCCATCCCACACCTGCTGTATCTGTGTGGGGAAGGAGACAGCCATCTATTTTAACCAGCCCTCCTGATGATTCCACGCACACCAGTTTGAGAACCACCACCCTTCAGGAAATCCAAATGCTACAAAAAAGACTGAATATCAAAACATATCAGTTTTCCACTGTGTAGGTTAAATGAAAGTATGGAACTACACTGGCAATAATAATAATAAGGTAAAACATTGGGGATAAGGTTCTGTTTAGAAAAAAAAAAATTTCATGGATGTGTGGTATACTGTGCTTGCTTGTGCAGACAAATCCGCAATCCCTCTTTGCAAGCACATTGCAGTCTCTGTCCCTTTCCTGTTTCTCAGCCCCAACTCCAGTTCCTATCCTCCCTCAAGTTACTCAACACCACCCCACAATGAAGAGGACCTTCCACTCTGCAAACAAAACCTTCCTGTTTCCCTTCCTTCACAGGATCCTAACCCTCCACCCCACCCCAGAGAGAACCTTCAATGTCTGTCCACTGGGACTCCTGGAAACAAATCGTTGCCATCCTCTGGCAGGAGAAACAGCCATCTGTTCCATTTTCCTTTTTGAGCTATACTGACCTCCCCTGCCCCAGCAGTCAGAAGCTGATTCCATGACTTAGCGTTCCTCCTGATTCCTTCAGCTCTATCTAGCCCACTAGCCAGTGCTGCTCAGTTCAGCAGAAATTGGCAGAGTTGGTAGTGGAACCGTTTAGACTGAGCTGGAGGGACACCATGTGGCCACAGCTAGTATGACACATCAGGCCAGGGACTTGTTCTGTTTCCATAAAGACTGAAACAGAGATTTTTGAGAATTAAAAAAAAGCTAAAATTCACCTACAATTATGTTAACAAGAGTATTTTTATGTCAGTTCCTTCTCTTAAATGTTTTCTGATAATTACCACCACAGCACCCACTCCACAGAGCACCCCTTTCTTTTCAGTGGAAATTCTGATCCTCAGAATTTTCCATGTTCATTCAAGGTTTCTGTGCTCATTAACCTCAGTGACAGTCAACACTAGACGCTCAGTCGATGCTAGTGTGATGAAACAGGAGGAAGAGGCCTGAGGCTGTTTTTGAGAGCTCCATTTCTGGAGTAACACAGGCAGGGGTTCAAAGCCCAGCTCTGCTACTTACTAGATGTGTTTTGGGATCTTCAGCATATTTCTTAACTATCTATATCTGGGTTTCCTCAATAATGGGAGGAGAGGGGAATATTACCTACAGTATAGGGTTGTTATGAGAAGTCAAAGAGATAGTGTGTGAGGAGACAACTTAGCACAGTGCCTGGCCCTACCCCAACACCAGCATCATTATTAGCATTCATAAATACGTCCCCATTGGAACTATCACAATATGGGCCAACTGGAGACCTCGATGGGATCCCTGAAACTGTGCAAACGTATGAGCTGACTAAAGACTGGGGGGAAAACATAAAATAAGACAATTTAAACAGGTGATTCTTTAAAGACTAGAAACTTCAAAGTGACAAAGAGGATCTCAGTCCTATTCCTCTTGTCCCTGCTCTTGAGAATTCACTATGTGTTCTATGTCCCTGATTTGGGTTCCTCCCAGCTACCACCACCTCCAGCTCAAATATAATATGCTGAGCAATGTGGGAACCAGCTTAGGAGTCCCTCCAAACATCATCCCACTAGGTGCTTCAAGAGTAACATGACACATCTGCCTGGGATCTGCAGTATATTCTGCCCAGAAACTTCTGTCTATGGGAAATTATCTCACTGCCAAGTAAGCCCTAATGAACAAAAGAAAACAGAGAAGCAAGACATCCTCAAGGAGTATGTAAGGGGATTCTCTCTCACTGCCTTCTTCCAGAGAGCCAGACAGAGATCCCATATATATGTGAGGATAGACGATAAAAGATAAATTAGCCCCTGTCTCTGCCCTCAAGAATGCTTCTTTTTGTAGGAGGCAGGCATAGGGGAGACACAGGCCGATAAACCAACAACTACCATACAATGCTAGAATACAGGAGTGTTCCTGTCAGTGCAGTGGGAAAATGAGCCTTCAGTTCTGTCCTGGATAGTGGGGAAGGTTTCACAGGAGTCAGGTGGGCTGATTGAAGAAGGGTCAGATTACAGGAAGAATCCAGGTCAAAGCTGTTTCTTACAGTACACAGAGCCCTGGGATAGAGTGGAGAGAAAGGGTGCATCAGAACTCTCTAAGAGGTAAGTTAAAATACAGATTCCCAGGAAGTTAAAACTCAGATGCCCAGAGACCTAGATATAGTAAGTCTGAGGAAGGGCCCCAAAATCTGATTATTTAGTAAGCCTTTCCCTCACAGTGATTCTGCTACCGGTAACCCACATGCCCAACACTGACCAACCCCACAATTGTCCTAGTCACCCCTCCTTCTTAAAACTTCTGTGGGCTTTGCTTGGAAGGTTCTGTGCCCACTTACCTTCTCCTCCCTCAAACACTATAGACAAACCTTTTCAGAGTGCTTGCTTTCTGCTCATAACCACTTTATATAGATAATTTCATTTAATCCCCCAAATGAGCCTAGAGAGTAGGTTTCCTAATAAACCCCATGCTACTTCAGGAAACTGAAGCACCAAGCAATTAAGTTAACCCATAGCCACACAGCCACACTGCTGGATGTGTGTTATCTTGTCTCTCCTTTAGATTGCTCCCAGCATAAGGGGCCCTGGAGCCACGGGGGCGGTGTCCAGGGCATTATAGCTGCTTAGTAAATATTTGTGGAATAAGTAAAAGAATAAGCACGCCTTCCTTCCATCTGTGACCTTCACCCAGTGCCTAGGCAACAAATCCGCCCCCTCCCTCTGGGCTCCTCCTAGGTTCCCACTGCCCCTCCTCCTTTCCTACCCCTGGGGCCTGGGAGCCCCGTCCTCAGGGTCCCACCACTGAAGGGTTACGGCCCCAGGCCCCTGCTGGCCCTGCTGTTGACCAGGGCCCCGAGGGCCTAGGAATGTGCTTTCCATGTTTGTAGAGCCTTTCCATTTGGCAATCCGGAGAGGGAGCTCTCTCTCCAGACACCTCCTCAAAGTCTCCTCTTTGTTGGGGCTCGGGCCAGCTGCTCCCTCCCTCCCAGTCCCTCTGGATCCATTTCGGGATCCCTCCTTCCTTTTTCCTCTCCTCCCTACAGTCTTTCTTCCCGGTTCCCTCACCTCTGGGTCTCCGGCAAACACTCTCTAGATGTTCTTCCCTCTTGCCTTCTCCTCCCCTTCTCCCTCCCAGCTTCTTCCTTCTCTCCTCCCCACCCCCATCCCTTTTGGCTTTTAGCGAGTCAGCCTCTCCCCCTTACCTCTCTGCTTTCCTTCCCTCCTCCCTCCCCAGGTTTGGACTCCCCACTCCTCCCCTCCGCCCCCGGGCCTCTCCCACACTCCCCG